TTGTTCATATATGCAGCCGCCTAAGAGTTATAAGATGTTAATTAGTGATCTTCAAAGGTGTTGACTGGTGGACAGACTGAAGCTAGCATGTTTCCCCTGCTTTTTTCAGTCTTTGTGCTAAGCTAAGTTAGCCAGCTGCTTGTAATTAGCTATATACCATACACACACATATATAGGCTATATAAATATATATATCTTACATAAGCAACAGTCACCTTTTACAGCAGGGCTGTCTAAAGTGGGGCCCACCAGATGTTTCTAGTAAAAGAAAATTAAAACATTATAATATTAAAAAATATATAATCTAAATCACTGTTTATGTTGTTTTATTGTCTTTAAATATTCAGGATCGCTATTAACAATTAACATTTATCATGATCTGAGCACAGTGGACAGACAGGTGTGTAAGTTTAGCCCTTGACCCACCATTAAGCTTCAGTTTTGGCCCTCCAAGGAAAAAATAAGGGCATCCCTGTATTAAGGAAGAACAAATGATTACATTTTTATATATAAAAAAAGAAGAAATTGATTGTTTTTAGGATACAATATGACCGGTGATGTAATTTTTAGCACAACTTTGCACTAACTTTATCCCGTAATAACTGCACATGTACAGTTAGTTAGACACTGTTTAAAATATTTTTTGCACGCCATATTCCTTCACTGCATACTGCATATAGTGCATATATAATCTATGATATGTTTATAGTATTTTAACACTTCCTGCACTACATCCTCTGTGCTACTCTGTCCAACATAGGAACATTTTATCTTAATCTTAAAGGATTAACAATGCATTTTTAATTGAATCTGCACTTTAAGGGAGTGTATAAGCAGTCAGATGCAGTATATAAACACTGGGACCTGTAGCAGTACAGTACTTCCTGCAGCCGCACTGAGTCCCCCTCACCGCCAGAGTCCTCTGTCGTTCAACCGGAGCTCCTGTACACAAACGTAACAAGACTCCTCTGTTTGTCTCTGCAGACCTGCCCTGAACTTACAGGCCTGCTGCTGCCTCAACCAGATTAAAAGAAGTTGTCCCTGGAGCCAGCTGACCGAGTGAATCTGGAGATAAAACGCTGCGTTTGGGTCTTTTTCTGGGGGGGAAAGTCGCGGCGCTCTCGGTAAGTTTCAGCCGCTCAACGAGCGGAAAAGCGGGCGGTGATGGTGAGTGTAGCAACCCGGCTACAGCTGCTGATACAGCCCATTAATAATACACAAAAGTTTGTATTTGTTGTGGTAGGATAATGTATTAAGAGTGGTTGTATCCTGCAGCACTGGGTTTGGATTAAAGTATAGTCTATAATGTAGTAATAAGTGTCTGAAGACAACACAGTGAGTGGTTTCCGGGGCGGGACCCTCCTCTCAACAACTCAACAACTTCTGAACTGAAAGTTGTTTTATTTTAATTTCTGTTTTACTTTATTGATTTCCTGTAGTCAACGTGTTTCTTTGAGGAGGGGGTAAAACCTGAAGCCTGTACTGTATTATGTACCTGAGAAATGCTTTATGATAGGTTTATTAGGAATGGTAAAAGTTACTATAATAAACCTCTATAATATGTCTTATAACCACACACTACAATTATATTAATATATTATTACTGATATATAATAAATAGGCAACATTAACTGTAGTAAAGTGACAGCCTCCTATATATTCACCTACTTGTTTTTACTTCAAATGCTGAATTATTTATTTATTTATTTTTTCTAAAACCTGAATATTCTCAGCATGCACAGTTTTGTATTTGAACATCTGGAGGGAGGAAGCAATGAGGGAAATTCTGAATGAATGAATTATGCTGAATATTGAACTCCTAAACGTGTCTCAGATGTAAATATAAAGTCATTTCTATAGGAGACAAAGTCAAGTATCACAGTTGGTTGTTTTTTGCATGAAAAGTTATAAATGTCTTGTATTGGCAGTATGTACCTCAAACATTGGTCTAGTTAGTTAAGTTAATTAAGGTACATGATTAAAAAAACAAGAACGTCTTCAAAAGGGGATTAATAAAGGTAAATCTTAAATGATAAATTATCTATAATAACACTATGGCTGTCACTACAAGGATTTTCATTATTGATTAATCCAATAATTATTGCCTCTAATAATCTGGATTTAAGTCTAATGTCGGCAAAACTGTAAAAAAAGAAAATCCAGTCCTCAACCCAAAAATACTCAACTTTATATCACAAAAGACAGCGGAAAGCAGCAAATCCTCACACTTGAGGAGCTGAATTGAGAGAACGTTTGGCATTTTTGCGTAAAATCTTCCTTATAAAAAAATGTATTGATCAGTATAACTGTATGAAATTACTGGTTATTGTGATTTTTAACACTGACGTAAACAAGCAGGATGTCAGTCTTATCAGCGTGAAGTTCCTTATCTCCACAACACATTTACTCCCGCTGTGATGCTCTGTTGCAGGGATGCCTCTCCACAGCATTTGGCCCTTTTATAAACTATTTTGTCGGGACTGAGAAAGAATCGGCAGTATGGGCAACGAAGGCGGCCTCGAGGACGTGTTTGTTGCTGTCATTCGCCCAAAGAATCAAGTCAGCCTGAGCTCAAAGGAGTACAGAGCCAAAGCCTATGAGGTAAATAAGTCTGTCACCAGCCAGTTAACCCACTTCCAGTCCAGTGGTGTTAACTCAGTTTCCTCTGGTTCCTGTGTAGATCCTGCTGATTGAAGTGCCTCTGGAGGGGAAGGAGAAGAAGAGAAAGAAAGTCCTCCTGGCGACGAGGATCCAAGCAGGAGGAGACAAATCCAAATCCATATTGGATTATGTTGACGAAAAAATTAGACCCATATACAGTAACCAGGGCTTCATTGGTGAGTGTAAGACATGATATTCAAACTAATGTATCGCCACTACTGACTGTCACCATGTTTCGGATCTCTTCGGATCGGGAACCACTGATCTAAACACAGTTTTGGGTTTCAGGAAAGCGTGTGGTGCATATGAAGAAATTCCCCC